GTGGCCTGACAGAAGAGTGTTAATTACAGCCAGACATCATGGTTGGCAGTATTGAGGGAAGGGAGCAAGATGCTTGACATAGAGCAATAAAGTCAGATGGTTTGGAAAAGAAATCCTGTGAACATTGAGAAAAGGAGGAAGCATATTATGTGGTCAGCCTCTCCTAGGTTAGCCACTGGTGGCTGCCCAAGGCTCAGGGAACATATCTGACCACCAGGTACACAGGCCTAGTCCCCCCCCTTACATGGCTCTTTCCTTCATAAGTGTAGGGAGAACATAAGTATCTGAGTGGAGACATGATAGGGAAAGAGTATAAAATGAGGTGGATACCACGTTAGGGAGCTTGGGCTAGGGAGCTCTTGGAGACTTTTAAACAGGAGAGTGACATGATCAGATTTATGTTTTGAGAAGACCATTTATAGATAGTGATTAAGATCTTGGGTTCAAATCCTAGTGAACTTTGGGTCAGTTGCTTCATCTCTCTATGCTAAAATATCTTTTTATGTAAAGTAGGAATAATGATAGCTTTTACCCCATAGGATTGTTGTGAAGATTAGATAATGTACATACGTCACTTAGTAAATAACTGGCCCAGAGTAAATGCTTACCTTCTGAAAATGATTATGTTGATATAATTATCAAAGTAGAAAAAAACTGGAGTCAGGGAGATCATATGTAATTAGGCAGAAAATAATAAGGGCTTAAATTAAAGGGAGGTATAAATGGAGAAGATAGTTATGAAAGATATTAAAGAAATAGAATTATTAGACTTTGAAATATAATGCTGGGCAGCGCCTATGGCTCAGCTGGTAGGGCATCAAACCCAGCCTCAGCCGAACTGCAACAAAAAAATAGCTGGGCATTGTGGTGGGCGCCTGTAGTCTCAGCTACTTGGGAGGCTGAGGAGCTGGAGGTTGCTGTGAGCTGTTTGACTCTATGGAGGGCAATAAAGTGAGACTGTGTCTCTAGGAAAAAAAAATATATATATAATGCTTATAATGAAATATAAAAGCTTAAAAAAATATAAAAAGCTTATAATGCTAAAAAAAGAAATATGCTTATAAAAGAAAAAAGCTTATAATGCTAAAAAAAGAAATATAATGCTTATAATGAAATATAAATGCTTGAAAAGAAATCTAAAAAGCTTATAATGCTATAAGGCAGGCATCTTTTTTTTGAGACAGAATCTCACTTTGTTGCCCTAGGCTAGAGTGTCTTGGCATCAGGCTAGCTTGCAGCAACCCCATACTTCTGGGTTCAAGCAATCCTCCTGCTTCAGCTGGGACTATAGGTACCCACCACAGTGCCCAACTAATTTTTCTATTTTTAGTAGAGATGGGGGTCTTGCTCTTGCTCAGGCTGGTTTTGAACTCCTAGCTCAAGTGATCCTCCCACCTCAGCCTCCCAAAGTGCTAAAGGCAAGCATCTTTAATAGTTCCAGTTTCGACCTGGGTGGCTAAGTGGAGGTTGGTGGGAATACTGGAGAAAGTGACAGTTTGAGATGAAAAAAGAACATAATGAGGTCAGTTTTGGGGATAGTGAATTTTTGCAACTTCATATGCTACCTTGTTTTAAAAAAAAAGATGGTGAGTTTGAATACTCTGTCATCAATTTGGACATGAGATACTGGGAAGTTTAAATTGCAGAAATAGGTTTGAACTTTTCACAAGGTAGAAGATGAAGCTATGAGTTGGGGAAAGAGCACACAAAGGGAGTGTGTAGGATAAGAAGATGAGAGCATCAGACATACGGCATATGGCCCTGGAGGGATCAAGAATGTTGAGAAAGAGCCATTGGAGTGATTGGTGACGTGGAAAGGATGGAGGAGAAGTTTCAAGAGGGAGGGAGGGAATCCTCAGGAACATCAGATCTTGTAAGAGAGCTGAGAAGTAAGTGATAATTAAGCAGCTGAGTTGTTACTGGTGACCTTTATAAGGAGAGGTGAACTTCAAGTGCTAGGCTCTGTGCTAGTCATCCAAAGATTAAGAAGACACAGTTCCTGACTTTATGGTGCTCACAATGAAATAATCTGTAACAATGAGAGTAGAAGAATGCTCTACTATGAAGGAGTTCAGACTGGGACATCTGTTATCCTATTGATCACCGTAAGTTGTCTGCCATAGTGGATTGGGTCCATTTCCTCTTCCTGGCTCATTCCTTCATAGACATCCTCCCTCAGGCAAATAGAATGACTTATCTAAGGGAAAAGGACCTTCTTTGGTGAATAGCATAAGAACGATTGGTCTCCCTTGCTGGAATAGTCACATTGCCTTCCAGGTGTACTGCTGTGTATGCTGTTTTCATGATATTGCCCCCTTCTGTAGGACAAACACAGAGAAACCTGTGTCTATTTGAAGATAGATTTGATCCTTCATTTCACAACAGCCAGTACTTGTTGTGGTGGTGACAGGTGGAGGTTAGCCTTGCTCAAAGTGAGGGAAGGAAGAGTAGAGGGAAGTAGGGGAAAGGTGGTAACATGTCAGGATGAGTTAGATAAGGACTAGCAGAGGTCAGTTGGGTTTTGTTAGGCAGAGATAATGGGAGCAGCGAGGAGAAAAGGGAAGATGACCATCCTGACAAGAGGAATAATAACAGCAGAGGTAGAGAGGTGGGAAACCACAGGCCAGGCTTACCGGATGGCACCCCAAACTCCTAGCACATAAGGACTGGGAGAGGAGGCTGGTACCAAGACTTGGGGCCAGATGACAGAGTTCTGAGGGCCAGGGGAGGGAGTTTGGGCTTTCTTCTTCCGTGGTTTGACATTTTATGGGAGGAACCATCAAAAGCCTTTTAGGAATTCAGGCTTGTCTTTCTCAGGCTTCCCCTTCTGGAAGACCAAGGGCCCAGAGTGGCAGCCTGACATTCAATCTCCTTTGCCATGGTTGGGAAGTTAGGACTGTAGCTGATTTCATTGGCCTGTTTTGCATTTATTATAGTGTGGCTTTTATAGTGTGTTAATTGAAATATTTCCAACTGCCAAAAACAATTACACTCAAATTGCCTTGTCAGTTATTTTATTGCCAGATAAATGTTTTACAGACATATTTACAGGGGGCAGTGGTAACTGGATCTCGTTTTCTATTTAAGGCTGGTGGTTTGGGTTGGGATTGGTCCTCCAGTGTTCTGTTGTGGGCTGGAAAGTTGTTGCATGTTGTGACGCTTCCATCTGTTACCTAGGGACCAGAGGCTCTTCAAAGGAAAGTGGCTTTCTGGCTCATGTGGCTTACTCTTGGAGAAGAAGGGTTCCCATCACTAGAAACCTTGGAAACCTGGCAGAAATCTGAATCCTGCTGCCCACCCTACCAGCAGCAATCTCTGCCCAAGCTAAGCCATGCCTTTCTCCTCACCTTTCCTCCTTTCCACCCCCCAATTACCTCCCAAAGACCCTACCATGTAAGAGCCTATCTAGTTTAACTCCTTCACTTTGTATCTGGGAAACCTAGGGTCAGAGACTTCCCTGAGATCACACAGGTGGGCAGTGACAGAGCTGCAAGCAGAGGCCTCTTTCTAATGTGCCTTGCTGCCACCAATGTGTGCCCATTGGCTCCTCTGCTGCCTTGACCCGTCCTTCAGTGCTCTAGGTTACTTCTTCCAAGAGCCCCTCCCTCATGTCTCCAGCCCTGTGAACTCTATCATCTGAAACACCTATTTCTTCTGTGTAGGTGGGATTCTTGTTTGTTTGTTTAGCAGGAACAGTTTACTGTCTCTGTCATTGTTATTCTCTTGCTTTTTGGTTTCTCCTGAAAAATATTTTATTTACCTGAACAGTGCATGCTGTCCTTTGACACCCAGCTAAGAAAGACCCACTTCTGGAAGCCTTTTCTGTGCAACCCAGACTGGGTACGTGGCCCTATGCACTTTCATCATACCCTGAGCACACATATCTATTGCTGGCTTTACAGGAACATAAACTGAGTGATTGAGTAATGAGTACTGATCACACTCATCTGTCTTCCTTAGGCCCTTACAACCTGGGATAGGGACCTCATCTTTCTTTGTCTTTGACCCACTGCTTAAATTAATGCCTGACACATAAATAGAATGTTTATCAAATTGAATTGAGGATGCTGCACTTAGAAACATAAAATTTAAGCATGTTAGAACTAGAAGGTCATCACATCCACTCCTATGCTTCTTACTGATGAGAAACTGATGTCTGGGGAGGAATGACTCTTGCCAGGGTCATGAAGACTTTTCCCAGGGTTTGATGACATTTGTTCATTTATTCAGTATTTTTGAATACTTAACTATCTTCTGAGCACTGTTCTAGATAGATGCTGGAAATACATGTACAGAGAAAAATAAAAGCACCTGGTCATAAAGAGTGTATATTGGCTCGGCGCCTGTGGCTCAAGCGGCTAAGGCGCCAGCCACATACACCTAAGGTGGCGGGTTC